CCTGTCCCTGTACCATTTCAATCTGTATGCAGAGCAGATCAGTCGGGAAAGCAGGGCTTCGTGAGGAGGAATGTGGCATCAGAATTGAAGGAACACTCATTAACAACCTATGATATGCAGATGACACAACTTTGCTTGCTGAAATGGAGGAGGACCTGAAGCACTAGTTCTAAAAGATCAAGGACCGTAGTCTTCAATATGGATTGAAGCTCACTATTAAGAAGACAAAGATTCTCACCACTGGGCATTGGCAGCATCATATTAGATGGGGGAGAAATTGAGGTTCTTATTAATTATAACTTGATCGGATTCACAATCAACACTCTTTTTTTATTTTTTATTATTATTTTTTGTGCACGTATTGTCAAATCAGATCTGACTGGTACAGGAGGAAATTGTCCGTCCTTCTCCGGCAGAGCATCTGGTGGATTTGAACCGTGTACCTCTGGGATTGCAGTACAGCTTCTTGCCACTAGGCCACCAGACTCCCCTACAATCAACACTCTTAACACCAGCAGTGAGGAAATCAAAAGACGAATTGTGCTGGGAAAATCTGCTGTTATGGACCTCTCCAGAGTGCTGAAATGCAACAATGTCAGTCTGTATACAAAGGTGTGCCTAATCCAGGCCATGGTCTTCTCAATTATGTGTTATGCTTCAAAGAATTGGACAATGACTAAGGATGACAGAAGAAGAATGGATGCCTTCGAGTTGTGGTGCTGGAGAAGAGTGTTGAACATATCGTGGACTGTCAAGCAAACAAATATGTCTGTCATGGTGAGGGTGAAGCCAAGTCTTTTCTTGGGGGCTAGGATTTTGAAGCTCAACCACACTTTGGGCACGTGGCCAGAAGAGATAAGTCCTTGAAAAGGACATCATGCTTAGAAGGGTGGAAGGACAGCGCAAGAGAGGGAACCCAGGACGATACAGTAACTAGGGCGATGAAGGTTGGTGTGTGAGAGTTAGTGAGACTGACGCAGGGCAGGGTAGGATTCAGAGCTGCTGTACCTAGGGTCGCTATACATCCCAAGCAACTCAATGATATATAAAAACAATAACATACTATGATAGGTTTGGAAGCAGTAGTGGAATCCACTTTCTAAATAGCGTGCCTCTAGAAACTCTATGAACTTTGATAAATGTCAGTAATTGTGAAGGGACTTCAAGCCTTTTGTTCATTGGGTTGCTATGAGTCATGCTCAACTCAAAAGGCAATCAACAACAACAATATAGCTATCTCTATCTATCTATATCACACTTATATATATATATATACACATATCACTACATATATATCAATCACACTACTATATATATATATATATACA